CCCCAAAACCCCAAAACCCCTAATGTTTGATCGCAGCCTTAAAACCTAAAGTGCTAAGTTTATTTTAATTTAAATATTTTAAAATGAACAAAGAAATATCCTTAAATAAATCGAAGCCAGATAACACTTTTATCACAAATGAGGAAAAAATGCTTTAAAAAAAGATAAAGTTTGATACCTTAGAACTTCAAAGATTTTACTTTGATACACTGGGTTTAGAAAGTTTAAGTCTTGAAAAAATTTAAGAGATAAAGAACATGGGAATTGAAATGCACGCGAATTTGGATACATACTATTACAATAATCGTGAAGATACGATTAAAGACTATTACGCAAGGTCTTAAAAATACGTTACTTTGACATAAAAACTAGGCATTTCGTAAAATTGGAGTCATTTGTATCACAAGCTGATAAACCTCACAGATTTCAACTTAAATGGGAGCGCGCTTTCTCTCTAAATCGCAGCATTTAACCCTATAATCAATCTTTTAGGGTCTGACGAACAAAGAGAATATTGGCTTCCACTTGCACATGAAATGAAGATAACAGGAGCTTATGTTTAAACCGAACTTGGTCATGGCTCTGATGTAAAAAGCCTTGAAACAACAGCTACTTACGACGAAAAAACTAAAGAAATCGTCTTTAATACACCATCAGTGAGCTCTACTAAATTTTGGCCTGGTGGATTAGGCAAATCAGCAACTCATATGGTGGTTTTTGCAAAATTGATATCAAAGGGTTAAGACCATGGAATATAGGCTTTTATTCTTTAAATAAGAGATATCAAGACACATAAAGTTCTTCCTGGTCTAGAAGTGGGCGATGTAGGTCCTAAAATTTCATAGATAAATACTGACAATGGTTATTTGATATTCAAGAACTTTAGAGGTTCAAAAACTTCCCTTTTATCCAGATATGTTTAGTTAAATGATGATGGCACATTTTAAGAAAAAATTAAAAATAGTGGAAAATTAGCTTTTGGAGGAATGCTTAAACTGAGAGTATCTTTGGTTGATAATGGTCATAGAATGATTGGAAGGATGGCTACTATTGCTACTAGATATTCATTCCTTAGAAGATAATTTGAAAGCAAGGATGGTAACTAAGCTCCAGAGGCTATGATTATGTCATATCAAATGTAATAATACAAGATAGTGCCTGCTATTGCTGCTGCCTGGTCGATACTTTTCGCTGGGAGTACTCTTTTTGGAATGTATGATCATTATTAGTCAAAGCTGTAAACTAAAGATCCAAAAGCCTTTGAAATTTTAGGTGATCTTCATGCTCTCACTTCAGGTTTTAAAGGAATCAGCACATGGAGCGGAGAATACTGGGGTGAAATTTTGAAGCAATCATGTGGTGGTCACGGCTATCTTTAAGTTTCAGGATTAACAAGACCACATCTTGACTTTGGTGTCGGAGTCGTTACTGCTGAGGGAGATAACACTGTTCTGATGCAACAAACAAGTGCCTACTTACTTAAAAAAATCCAGAAGGGTAAAATTGATCCAGATACATATGAATTCACCTTGAGCAGCAAACTTAGCATTGATCAAGAAATAGTCCTACTATATGAAGTCAGATTTAAGAACCATTTGAAAAATGTAGCCTTACAGATAGCTGAAAGCATGTCAAAGGGCAAGAATTTCAATTAGATTTGGAATGATGAATACCAAGCTGATTTAGTTATAGCTGGAAAATATTTCATCTCACACTTTGCTATTAAGAATTTCTACGACATCATTAATGGAAAGTCATTAAATGCTACTTAAGCTACTGTTACTAAACTTTCTCCAGAATTACAAAAAGTTATGCAAATGCTATTCAGAGTACACGGAGTCTATCAACTAATTGAAGAGTATGAAACTTTTTACATGAACTACCCTTCAGATTAATTTGTTGATTACTTCAACTCTAAAAAGATTGATGATTTGAAGAAGCAGTTTAAGGAAGAACTATAGATTCTAGGAATGACTTCTCTTGACATTGTTGATGGTTTTGACTTCAAAGATCCAGAACTACTTTCAATCATTGGAAGAAAAGAGGTTAAGAATCAAGAATAACTTTATGAAGAGTTGCTAAATGTTGTGAGAAAGAATCCAATCAACTCAAAGCCTGTACCACTAGGATACTAGGAATATATCAGGCCATTACTTGTTGGAAAGCTTTGAAGAGTTTTTGAATTTCATACATTCATGAGCAGAAACTGCTCTCCCTTGATATTAAATTACATTTCTATCAAAATTTACTCAATCTTTTTCTTTGGGGTTTTGGGGTTTTGGGGTTTTGGGGTTTTGGGG